AGCCAGCTCAAATTATTCACCATAAACACATTTTCACTTATTTGGCTCTGGGTATAGCAGCTCATGAGCTGAAGTCCTTCAAATGTAGGGCTAAAGCCTTGTTTTTGTCTCTGACACTATAAAACTGTGTAGGCTGCACCCAAAAGCACACAGAATGTGGTAAATATGTGCTCCTTGAACCTCTAATTTTATGTCTGAACAACTAACGATAGGTTAAAACCATTTTGTAAATTTATATACCAAAAAGTGCCTCTAGCAGTACTTGGCCAAAAAATACCAACATTATAAAGAAAGTATAATACTACTAACATTCACAGATCCGCCATAATCTTTTGAGATTAGTATCACAAGGGATACCACAAATATTTTTGGAGTTGTCAATAGCACTGATAATCAGGTATAAATGTGTAAGAAGAGAACAATTTTAAACTTTTCAAGTACTCACTGACTATTCCAACTTTTCTGATAAATATGATCTTCAATAAGGCTTCCAATAATATGTTCAATTTAACATATTCGTATTATGTCAATGAATCATAAATTGGGAGATGAAATATCATGAAGGCACAACTAAAGCCAGATTAATCTTTACAGAGAATTGGATAAAAAAAAAAGAATATAAAATAAAACAAATTATTGTTAATAAGAATATAGACTTCGTATGCTGCATTAATACATAAACACACTTTTTTTTTTTAACAATACTGAGTCAAGTACATTTCTCTTTCTCTTTTACTTCCTCTCTAATTGACTCACTCATTCCCCTCACCCTCACTCTCAGGTAGTCACTATCCACCTCCCTCCCTCTCTCCCTCCTCTCACCCAACCTCCCGTCCTCCTCTCTCCAACCAGCACCCTTCACCTCTCTCCTCCTCTCTCTCGCACCCTCTTCTCCTCCACCCTCTCTCACCCTTCCCCCCCCCCCTCGCTCTCTCTCTCTCTCTCTCTCTCTCCCTCCCTCTCTCTCTCTCTCTCTCTCTCTCCCTTCCCCTCTCTCTCTCTCTCTCTCCCTCCCCTTCTTCCTCTCTCTCCTCTCCTTCTCTCTCTCTCTCTCCTCTCTCTCTCCCCCCCCCCTCTCTCTCTCTCTCCTCTCCCTCTCTCTCCCTCTCTCTCTCTCTCTCCCTTCCCCCTCTCTCTCTCTCTCTCCCCTCTCTCTCCCTCTCTCCCTTCCCCCCCTCTCTCTCTCTCTCTCTCTCTCTCTCTCCTCTCCCCCTCCCTCCTCTCTCTCTCTCCCTTCTCCTCTCTCTCTCTCTCTCTCTCTCTCCTTCCCCTCTCTCTCTCTCTCTCTCTCCTTCCCCTCTCTCTCTCTCTCTCTCTCTCCTTCCTCTCTCTCTCTCTCTCTCTCTCTCTCTCCCTTCCCTCTTCTCTCTCTCTCTCTCTCTCTCTCTCTCCTCTCTCTCTTCCCTCCTCTCTCTCTCTCTCTCTCCCTTCCTCTCTCTCTCTCTCTCTCTCTCTCTCTCTCTCTCTCTCTCTCTCTCTCTCTCTCTCCTCTCTCTCTCTCTCTCTCTTCTCTCTTCTCTCTCTCTCTCTCTCTCTCTCTCTCTCTCTCTCTCTCTCTCTCTCTCTCTCTCTCTTTTCCCCTCCCTCCCTCCTCTCTCACTCTCTCTCCCTTCCCCTCCTCCCTCTCTCTCTCCCTTCCTCCTCCTCTCTCTCTCTTCCCCTCCTCCCTCTCTCTCTCCCTCCTCTCTCTCTCCTCCCGACTTCCTCCCTCCCTCCCTCTCTCTCTCTCCCTTTCCCCCTCCCCCTCCCTCTCTCCTCTCCTTTCCCCTCTCTCCTCCCTCTTTCTCTCTCTCCCTTCCCTCCCTCTCTCTCCCTCTCCCTTTTCCCCCCTCTCCCTCTCTCTCTCTCTCCCTTCCTTTCCCTCCCTCTCTCTCTCTCTCCCTTCCCTCCTCCCCTCTCTCCTCTTCTCCCCTCCCTCCCTCCCTCCCTTCCCTCCCTCCCCCTCCTCCCTCCTCCCTCCCTCCCCTCTCTCTCTCTCTCTCTCTCTCTCCTCACTCTCTCTCTCTCTCTCTCTCTCTCTCTCTCTCTCTCTTCTCTCCCTCTCTCTCTCCCTTCCCTCCCTCCCTCTTTCTCTATCCCTTCCCCTCCCCCCTCTTTCTCTATCCCTTCCCCTCCCTCCCTCTTTCTCTATCCCTTCCCCTCCCTCCTCTTTTCTCTATCCTTCCCCTCCCTCCCTCCCCTCCCTCTCTCTCTCTCTCTCTCTCCCTCCCCTCCTCCTTCTCTCTTTCTCTCTCCCTTTCCCTCCCTCCCTCCTCCCTCCCTCCTCCCTCCCTCCCCCTCCCTCCCTCTTCCTCCCTCCCTCCCTCCTCTCTCTCTCTCTCTCTCTCTCTCTCTCTCTCTCTCTCTCTCTCTCTCTCTCTCTCTCTCTCTCTCTCTCTCTCTCTCTCTCTCTCCCCTCTCTCTCTCTCTCTCTCTCTCTCTCTCCCTCTCCTCCCTCCCTCTCTCTCTCTCTCCTCCTCTCTCCCTCCCTCTCTCCCTCCTCCCTCCCTCCCTCCCTCCCTCCCTCCTCCTCCCTCTCTCTCTCTCCCTTCCTCCTCTCTCTCTCTCCCCTTCCCTCCCTCCCTCCCTCCCTCCCCCTCTCCTCCCTCCTCCCTCCCTCCCTCCCTTCCCTCCCTCCCTCCCTCCCTCCTCCCTCTCTCTCTCTCTCTCTCCCTTCCCCCCTCTCTCTCCCTTCCTCTCTCTCTCTCTTCCCTCCATCCATCCATCTTACCATCTCTTCCTTTTCCTTTTCCTTTCCATTTCTCTTTCTCTCCCTTAAACTTTCACTCATGCACTCACACTATCACTCACACTCTCCTCTTTTTTCTCTTTTTCCTTCTCCCTCTCTTTTTAATTTTCTTTTTCTGCCTCTCTTCCTATTTTTTCCTTCCCTATCTCTT